AAAAATGTTGAAAAGTTATTAATTAATTTAATCATATACGATAAGAAATAAACATCAGCTTTATGTAATTTCCTTTTTTTAAGAACAAAATTTGAATTTTAAGGAATATAAGTGAAACTTTATTTATAGTTCAAATGATTTTATCAATAATTCCAAGATTATTCATATAATACAGATATCAGTTATAATTACTTTTAACTCAATTGGGTAGCATTCAGAATAAAAATTTAAAAGTGTTGCCAAATAAATCAATTATGAATTAAATTGTTTATCATAGTTGTATATTTAATTTTAAAGATGAATTTAAGATTTTGAAATGCTAGATAATCTATTAATTCAAACCTTCATACCATGAATTAGGAGATTTTCTTTCTTTCCTGAATAAATTCATTAGTAAACAGTTAGACCATCAGTTTAAAATTTTTTGCATTTTATACTTCCATATAATTAGAATAAAATTTGTGAGACAGGGTTTAGTAAATGATAATAGCACCTACAATTGCATTGAAATAAGTATTTAGATTTAAGGAATGCCTTTTATTCTGTTTCTTAATATTGTCTACTGAAATGGTAAAACAATTACTCCAATATTTCTGGCAACACCACTCTAAAAATGAACCAACAACATTTATAATCTTTGTTATCCTGGTTATTTTTATTTCAATATTTGTTCAAAATTATCTGTTAAGAGCATCTTTCGCAGAAAAATTTAAGGCTAATGTTTGAAAGTATAGAATAACATTTCGCTATTTCCTCTTAAAAATTAAAGATACCTTTTCAAGAAATATTCGCTTGAAACTATCTAAAATTTCCCTAACATTTTCAAAATATACAAATTACCTGCATCCTAGCAATACTTTTGATTTCTATGCTATATTTAAGGTAACAATTATTTTCATTTTATATATTATTGTTTTTCCTAAAGCTCCTGAAACACAACCTGCTAAAAATTCATATATGAAATTTTATTATTGATGATGATGAGTGTGTGATTTTTAATTAATTTATTGTATGCAATTAAAATAAAAAGCTTTTAATTATAAATAATATCACAATAATTTAGATTTTAGATGTCCACCAATTATTATTTTTTAAATAAATTTTATCTATTAAATTATAAGTTGTTTAAAGATAAATGACATGGCAATTATATTTTTAAATCACTCGAGTAATTTACTTTATGCCCAAAATAAATATTGAAAATCTTCAATTACTAATATGTAATTGTGATTTTAAAATATTAACACATAAAATTATCATTATGGTAGTTAGTTTAACTTCTCTAAAAATAAAAATGGTTATAAACTAGAATGCGCTTAAAATTGTTCTTAGTCTTAACTAATAATTCTTCTAGTTTTTTTTTCTTTACAGTTAGCATGTAACTGAAAAATGTGACTGGCAATGCTTACTTATTACATCGACTCCAATTTTTGGTTTTGTTTTTTGTTTCACGTTACTTCAATGTTCTTTAGCTCACTGTCATAATATTTTAAAGCAAAGTTTATTACT